GTATATATATATATATAAACGTCGACAGCTTAGCTAATTTCAGCTAACTTACTGAGCAAGAATCTCTTCGAATGTTGCTCCGCCATTACATTACTTGACAAAAATGAGAATGAATTGTAGAAGTAGACTATTTATGTTAATTATATTAACATAACTATTGCGCCCCTTGTGGCAGTGCTGAGAATGCAATGTAAAAACTGTGGGAAAAAATGCAGTCAGAAGCATTTATCTTCACATATTTTTGTAGTCTATTGGTTTTTAGTGCATCTCATTATGATATAAAAACACTGCTTATGAACAAAAGCATTCTTCAAGCAAATATGCAAATACAAACTTTACATAACAAACTGCAACAATGTCTCTGCCATTAAACCACTTGTGTTGCTAACTATAGCTAACTATAAACATTAGCTTAGCTTAGTTAGCTAACTTACTGACAGTGTTGGGGAAGCTACTCTGAAACTGTAGCTTGACCAGCTACAAGCTACTCGTAAATTAAAGTAGTTAAGCTACATTCAAGCTACCGTTTTGAAAAAGTAGCTAGCTACACTACAAGTTACTGTCAAAGATTAGCTAGCTACATTGAAATTACTTTCAATTTTTTTATTATTATTCTTTTTTTTTTTTTTACAATTAACATTACAAATAACTAAATAATTATTAATGAAGAATTATAATGAAGTTATAAGTAAAATATTTAGGGTTTAAAAGTAAAATATAATGAAGTTATAAGTAAAATATTTGGGGTTTAAAACGTGAATCCCGCCACAACCATCCTTTGCCAAATGATAAGCACATTACTATATTGCGATTTTATTTTCTGTTCGATTAGTGTTCATTACAAAACTGTGGGAGGACAGATTATATTATGACCGTTCATCATTGTAAAATAGACATTTGATCTAGAGTGCAATAAAGAAGAAAAATTAATTAGTTTAAAAAGGCTATTATTCACCTCCTGTATGTGCTTTAAGTCTTCGACTTGCTGCTACTTGCTGGGAAAAGTAGTTAGCTTCAGGAAAAGCTGCACTGTTTTAAAAGTAGCATCGCTACTGTAAAGCTACTGAAAAATGTAGTTAAGCTAGTAGCGTCACTACTTGTAGCTAGCTACTCCCCAACACTGCTTACTGAGCAAGATTCTCATCAAATTGTTGTTCCACCATCACAATAATCGACAGTTTACACTAATTCTTGCTATTGCACCCCTTGTGGCAGTGCTGAGAATGCAACATGCATAAACTCTGCATTAAGAAATGCAGATAAAAGCATTTGCCTTTACATATTCCTCCAGAATTTCTGTTTTGAATGATAAATTCACATTTTGTTTCTTTCTCATCTATGCGTAGGCTCTTTGGAGGTGGTGTTCGTCAGAATGTGCCGTGCCTTCGACCCTCAGAACAACACAGTCTATTTCGACGGAAAGTATGCCGGGCATGATGTCTTTAAGTCATTAGGTGAGTTACAAAACCCGATTGGACTTGGTATGTGAAGTGGAAATTCTGTGTTTGGACTATTACATGTGAGTGTTTTGCTTATTTGTGTCCTTTTTGTTCGAAATGACATTCACACATGCAAATGTGGGCAGAACCCAACCAATTTGCCTAACTGCAAGCAACGTCAAAATTGTTTTGTACACACACCTGTGTGCAGGATCCAAAATCTGCCACCGCAAATAAATAAAACGATATTATTTAAAACATTATAATTATTTCTATATAATTACTTTTGTAAATAATTATACACTTAACCAATTAACTATATTTTGTATAGCATTTAAATAAATATTGTAAATACAAAGAGGTAATATGAATGTATGAAAAGCATTTTTTAATTAAATAAAATTGCAATTTTACCCACATTTGGCACTCCAAAAGTGCTAATTTTGGACCCTGTGTGTACGCAAGCAAATAAAGCCCACCAGGTCGGCACCAGCTTCTCATATATATTCTCATATATAAAGTTAAACTTTCCTCGCTGAGGATGCTGCTCAGGGTTGCAGTAGCGCGGCTGTAGCTGCTGCGTATAGTGGGTGTCTGGAACTGCATAAGCAAGATTGAGTGTCTACCAGGAGTGTTTTATCAAACCCGCCATCCACGCAGCCGTAGCCTGGGAGTAGAATTTTTCTAGAGTAAGCAAATAGCATTTATGTTTGAATGCCGTGACATTAGTGAAATCTCTTCTCTGTCATTATGCACTCACATTGGAAACCTTTTGGGGCTGAAAGCTGTCCAAATGCCAAAACAAACACAAATAGGATAAATCTAGACCTAAAGATGTCAGCCTGCAAGACAACATTCAGTCATATCTCACATGGACGTCCTCAGCGTTATAACGACCGCAATATCTTATTCCTGTCATATCTGTAGCGCATTTAATAAGCCCGCATGTGTTTGCCAAGCTTAAACCAGTAGCTCTGAATCTGGTATGAAAACTGAAACTGTGGTGTAGTGCCCCCAGGTGGTACTCAACACACTCTGGATGTTTTATTTAAATTATTTATCATTTTTCAATGTTTAATTTCCAATATCTGATTTATTTATGAGTCTGATATAGATTTGTGCATCTAAAACTCACATTATTACTTAATAGGCACTGTGTTCAACAATGTTTTCAAGCTGCAATCGATATAAAAGGCGAGATATGATTCTAAACGGACAGGAAAATCATCTAAAATATATTTATTATTTATGTGTTTGATGCAGAATGCAACATTTGCATATTAATTCATGCAAATACAGTGCAATCCTTTGTAAATATTGCTACTGTGGTGTTTGTGTGTATTAGCTTTAGTCTGATTCTTCCACAAAATATGGAAATGTGTGAACAGGTGGTATTCAACACAACTTATTTAAATTATTTGCCATTTTTAATGCCTAATTTCTACGATCTACAAGTCTAATATAGATTCATGTGTCTAAGACTACTAATGTTAAAAAAAAAACGTAACTTTTTTTTTTCAAGCTGCAATAAAAGGCAATATATAATTTTATTTGACCTTAAAGTCAATTTGCAAAAAGCTTTTTTGAACTTAAATGCTTGAAATACTAGAAATGCTATTTATTTTATTTTATATATATATATATATATATATATATATATAATATTTGCAATTTTTAATGCTTAATTTCTAGTATCAGCATTATTTACATTATATAATATAGATTTGTGCAGGTAAGACCAACAATATCACTTAATGAATTGTATATTAAATAGTTTTCTCAAGTTTTCTAGCTATGATTAATGGGAAAAGCCAGATTTAATTTTATTTGACTTAAGTCAACTTATTTCTTATTTCTTAAGATATTCAAATATAAAATATTTAATGTAATGTTAAAAATATGTACTATTCATGTGTTTGAACTGGACTGCAGTTTTTTATATTCATGCAAATACAGCACAATCCTTTCTAAATGTTACTATGGTGAAGTTTTTTGTGTTTAGATTCAGTGCGATCTTTCCACATTTGAAAATACTGGAACGTTGCTATAGTCCTAATGCTTGCGTTCAAAGTGAAAGACAAAATTGGAGGGAACATTGTTGTGTCTTGGTGCTTGGCTTGGAAAGTTTGAGAACTGCTGCTGTAGACTATCTCCCAGTGTTTGCGTGAGCTCTGAGTCATGGGTTTTATTCAGTGTTGTTAGTGACCCCAGTCATGGTTATGTAACCCCTCTCATTCGCCAAAGCATGATTAGCCTGGAGCGGAAAAAAATGTGGCGGGAGAAATCATTCTGTAATGCTGAAGGATTGTATTGTTTTTACCTCTGCGCCACCCCGACATCTCATGCTAAAAGATCAAGTGTCTACTCGACGCTGGCTACTGCTCCGTCTCAGCCGCCTGTGACTCTCTCTTTTTTTTTTTTTTTTTCATCAACGACTTCTTCCTCTCTTTCTCCA